TAATACAATAGCAAAACAAGAAAAGCAGTTAACAAGTAGAGGCATTTTATACATTAACAAATAAAAATGTAACATATTTTACAATTTCCCCTAGCAGATACTTTCTTATATGAAAATCACTTCCATATGCATATAGGGAACTCAATTTATGCTAGGATCAATAGGCACATTCTGAAATCTATGCTATAGTTATGTTAAAAGATCTCCCCCACTATATCAAAACTTAGAAGTTGTTGTGAGATTGAGGGTTATAATTTCTTGTTTTTGTCATATTAGACACCCAAATCTTTGTTACTTCCATATTAGAACTCAAATCTATATATTTATAAACTAGGCCCCAAAATCTTCATGTCTGTTACAAGTGAAGGTGTTATTCAAAACAACTTAACAGAATTGTGATGTAAATTAAAAACTTGGGGGTGTTATTTAAGACAACTTAATGGACTCAGCGGTCTAATTAAGAAACTCAAAGATTTTGGGATCTATTATGACAAAGCCCTATAATTTTACATTTTAACATAGCCTATGGTTGAGCGTCCTCTTATGGGCCGATACATGCACTCATGCAGCGTATTTTTCTTTTTAAATCTGTTTTGCATTCGCAACAATGAGATGTGAATCTAGGTTGCTTTGCTGTTAAATGCCTCTTCTACAACACCAAAATCTAAAATTGTGATGATGTTTGAGGATTATAATTTTACGATTTAACATGTTATAATATTAATGGTAACCCTTACTATAAATTCCAGGGTTTTGCTATGGTGAATGATGGGAATTCGAAACAATCAATCGAACCCTTGCCCTTCCGGACCTTGTGTTGAAAGTAGGAAAGTAGGAATAAAACCACAAATAAAGATCTAACTTGCAAAAAACAGTAAAGGAGACGAACACACAGATTTAACGAGGTTCGGCAACGTGCCTACGTCCTCGGGAGCCACACCACACAATCTCTTTATTAATTGAAGAAGAAAAATACAAGCTCTCAAACAAGGGATTAATCTCTCTGAGATTCTCTCTCTCTTTGCAGTCAAAAAGCTCTCTTTTGATGTAGTACAAACCCTAAAATCGTTTGGGGTATATATAAAATCCTGGGTGAAACAGATTCCTAAACAGAATAGGATTCTGTTTGACTGCGTCGCGGTCGACCGGCCCGGTCGACCGATCAGATTCCAGAGAGTTTGGCGGCCGCCCAGTCTTCTGACTGTTTTCTTCGTCTTTTCGATTGCAGCTTTGGGTCTACACACTTAGACTAACAATCTCCCACTTGGAGACCAAAGTGCCTGCAATGAGTTTCCCCGAACTCTCCCCTTCTTCGTATGTACCTTTCCCCCGAAAAATTCTTCCTTCAATCAACAATATCCCGGCGATCTCGCCGATCCTCGTAGTGTGGCTCCGCCTTCGTCTTCTACTCGTGAAGGCCAACTGAAGTTGCGCACAACTCTAGTTTCTCAGTGGTGTCTGCCTTCGTCAACATGTCCGCCGGATTTTGACTCCCCAAAATCTTCATTAAATGTAACTTTCCGTCCTCAACTAGCGAGCGTATAAAATGATATTTGACGTCGATGTGCTTCGTTCTGACATGATATACTGGATTCTTGGCAAGATCCATAGCGCTCTGGCTATCACAATAAAGAACTCCTCTCCCTTGCTTCAGATCCAACTCTTCCAAGCACCCGTTCAACCAGATCATCTCCTTGCTTGCTTCAGTCACCGCGACATACTCAGCCTCGGTTGTAGACAAAGTCACAATCTTCTGCAGACGTGAGACCCAGCTCACTGCTGTCGACGCTAAGGTATAAACATACCCCGTGGTGCTTCGCCTCGTATCATGATCACCGGCGAAGTCCGCATCCACGTATCCCTACAGCACCAACTCCTTCCTCCTGAAACATAGTGGCTTGTTCGTTGTTCCCCTCAAGTACCGCATTATCCACTTTACGGCCTCCCAATGCTGCTTTCCTGGATTGCTTGCAAATCTGCTCACAACTCCCACTGCATGGGCGATGTCCGGCCTCGTGCAAACCATCGCGTACATGAGACTCCCAATGGCCGAAGAATATGGCATCCTGCTCATATGCTCTCTATCTGCAACTGTCTTAGGCGATTGCTCCTCAGATAGCTTGAACTGACTTCCAAGGGGTGTGCTAACAACTTTAGCATTCTGCATGTTGAACCTCTGAAGTACCTTCTCAATGTATTCAGCTTGGCTCAATCTCAATGTCCCTTCAGCTTCATCCCTACTGATTCGCATCCCTAGAATCTGCTTCGCTGCACCCAGATCCTTCATTACAAATTCCTTTGCTAGCTGTCTCTTCAAACTATTTATCTCTTCTAAACACGATCCTGCTACCAACATGTCATCAACATATAATAACAAAATAATAAAGCTGGACTCGAACCTTTTGAAATAACAACAATGATCCGAATTGCATCTTCTGTAGCCATTGTTCTGCATGAAGTTATCAAACTTCTTATACCACTGTCTCGGATCCTGTTTCAAACCATATAAGCTCTTCTTGAGCTTGCACACCATCTCTTCCTTTCCTTCTTCAATGAAGCCAACAGGTTGCTTCATGTAGATTTCTTCATCTAAGTCACCATGAAGAAAGCCAGTCTTCACATCTAACTGCTCAAGGAAGATGTCTTCTGCAGCTACCAAACTCAACACCACTCTGATGGTTGTGAGTTTCACAACAGGAGAAAATATCTCCTTGTAGTCAACTCCTTCCCGCTGTTGAAACCCCTTCACGACTAATCTGGCCTTGAATCTCTTGCTTCCATCACTCTCCTGCTTGACCCGGTAGACCCATTTATTGTGCAAGGCTTTCTTCTGTGCAGGTAGCTGGGCTAACTCCCATGTCTCATTAGTAAGTAGAGAATCCATCTCCTCCTGCATCGCATGCTCCCACTGCTGAGATTCACTCACTTGTACTACCTCTTCATAACACTCCGGCTCTCCGCTATCTGTTAAGAGTAGATAATCAAGTGACGAGAGGTATTTGGGATTTGGTTTGGGTACCCTGGATGACCTCCTAAGCTCCACGCCCTGGGTAGTAGCTTCTGGGTTTGGGTACCCTAGATGACCTCCTAGGCTCCATGCCCTGGGTAGTAGTTTCTGCACCTGTAGTCTCCTCCGTTCTACGGTCAGAACTGACATCGTCGCCCCCATCTGGAAGTTCCTCCAAATCCATGTACTCGGATCCACCTGTATCTGTAGTGCTGCTCCCACTGCTTTGGCTATCCTTGGTATTGTCCCTGTCCTTATACATCACCTCCTCATTGAATATCACATCCCGGCTCCTGATGATCTTCCTGTTCTTCTCATCCCAAAGGTGATACCCGAACTCATCAATGCCGTATCCAATGAATGTGCACTTCTGTGACTTAGCTTCTAGCTTGTCCCTGACATGATCACTGATATGAACATAAGCCACGCAACCAAATACCCGTAAGTGTGAGAGATTTATCTTCTTTCCACTCCAAACCTCCTCTGGAATCTCAAAATCTAATGGAACTGATGGCCCGTGATTAATAAGGTATGCTGCCGTATGCACCGCATTCGTCCAAAATGTCTTAGGCAGACCTGCATGTAATCGCATGCTCCGCGCACGCTCTGTCAAGGTCCTGTTCATCCTCTCTGCAATGTCGTTCTGCTGCGGCGTCCCTGGAGTAGTCCTCTCTAAGCGAATCCCATTCGTAGCACAGAACCTCTTGAACTCCTCCAGCTCGTATTCTCCACCATTATCTGATCTCAAGCACTTCACCTTCAGATCTGTCTCGTTCTCGACCATGGCCTTCCACTTCTTGAAGATTTCGAACACCTCTGACTTGTGCTTCATGAAGTAAACTCACACCTTCCTCGAGTGATCGTCGATAAAGATGACGTAGTATCTCGAACCGCCAAAGGAAGACACACTGGCTGGGCCCCATACATCTGTATGAATCAACCCTAGCTTCTGAGCCTTAGGTGGCCTTCCACCCTTATGGAAACTAACCCTCTTCTGCTTCCCAAAGATGTAGTCTTCACAAACTCTGACTTCCACGGCGTCGATCCCGGTTAGATTTCCTTGTGAATGTAGAATTTCCATCCCCTTCTCACTCATGTGTCCCAGCCTGTTGTGCCACAGATCTGTACTCTCCTTGCCAGCTGCAATTGCGAGGGTGTCACTCGCATGTGAAGTGAGGTAGAGAGTTCCTGTTTTATTGCCTCGGGCAACAACCATAGTACCATTGGAGATTCTCCACGAATCCCCGGTGAATGTTGAAACGTAGCCTTCTGCTCCAAGCTGTCCCACCGAAACAAGATTCCTCTTCAGCTTCGGTACGTGTCTCACGTTCTTTAAATTCCACTTAGAGCCCTTTATATGTATCTGAACGTCGCCCTTTCCAACAATATTGCAAGGTTCATTGTCCCCCAAGTATACTTTACCAAAGTCCCCTGCTACATAGTTCTGAAGTAGTTTCCTATTAGCACTAGCGTGGAAAGAAGCTCCTGAGTCGATGACCCAAGAATCAAAATCGCTGTCCATAGCAAGGATCAAGGCATCCTGCACGATATGAGCCTCCTGCTCACCCGCATCCTTCTTTGGTGCTTTACAGACCGAAGACATATGGCCCTCCTGGCCACAGTTCCAATATTTTCCTTTGATAGACCTAACCTTCGAGTTCGGCCTCTTCTTCACTGATTTTGACCGATTCCTGTTCTGGTTCCCTTTCTTCTGGCTTCTGCCTCTCTGCTCGAAATTTAGGGCTGAACCTGAACCTTCTGATTCGGACGATTTCCTTCTAACCTCCTCGGATAGAATCATGCTAACAACCTCATTCAGCTTCAACTTCTCTTTCCCCGCCGAATTGCTGATTGCCGTCACACAACCTGCCCAACTATCCGGCAACTGCGATAGAATCAATAGGGCTTGCACTTCGTCATCAAACGTGATGTCCACGGAGATAAGACCGGATTTGCCCTAGAACCTTCCTATCCAGTACCTCCCAATCACCATCTGACTCCTCTTTCTTCTTTCCCTTTTCCTTGCCCATCAACGGGCGATACAAATCCTTCTGGTACAGATAGTCCTCCATCTGCGACTTCCAGTAGGCGAAATCCAATCCATCGAACTTCTTAATCTTTGATTTGTTTTCCTCTGCCATGGCTTTCACACAAATTGCTGAACGAAGCTCTGATACCAGTTGTTGGGAATTCGAAACAATCAATCGAACCCTTGCCCTTCCGGACCTTGTGTTGAAAGTAGGAAAGTAGGAATAAACCACAAATAAAGATCTAACCTTGTAAAAACAGTAAAGGAGACGAACACACAGATTTAACGAGGTTCGGCAACGTGCCTACGTCCTCGGGAGCCACACCACACAATCTCTTTATTAATTGAAGAAGAAAAATACAAGCTCTCAAACAAGGGATTAATCTCTCTGAGATTCTCTCTCTCTTTGCAGTCAAAAAACTCTCTTTTGATGTAGTACAAACCCTAAAATCGTTTGGGGTATATATAAAATCCTGGGTGAAATAGATTCCTAAACAGAACAGGATTCTGTTTGACTGCGTCGCGGTCGACCGGCCCGGTCGACCGATCAGATTCCAGAGAGTTGATCGCGGTCGACCGACCCGGTCGACCGCCGATCTGTCTGCGTGTTTTTCTGATCTTTTGATTCCAGCTTTTGTCTCGAACTTTGGGTCTACACCTTAGACTAACAGTGAAAAGGACCTTTAACTTTTCACTGCAGAAACTCAGGTTCAAATCCCACGAGCCACACATGTAAAATGGATAAAAAAGAATTACCAGTCCAACTCATGAAAAGGGCATTCAAATTGTAAGGGCATGTGAGTATAGATCATAACTCTCACTTACCATATATTGGGATTTTGGGGGCAGTGGAATTTAACAAGATGTAAACTGGCATCGTTAATAACACCGTCTATCGGATGGAAATTAATGAATGCATAATAGAACTTGTAGATCAAACGATACTAACCCAAAACGTTTCGCGAAAGATCTGTATGCTGGTAATAGAACTTCAGCAACTGCAAGTCTCAAAGACTCGCGTAACTCAGGATCTGGTACCGTCCACTGGCACTGCCTTTGATGAAGTTCCTCAAATTGCAAGTTAAAGGACTTAAACCTGACAAAAGTATAGCAAGAGTGAGCCTCAAGGTTCACTAATTAAAGAGAAATTAGATGGTTATCTTTAAAAAAAATCCTAGTTACTACAATTGTTGACCTATCCTTTACTCCTGCTCTCGAGAGTGTACTAGCGTTGTTCGTGTCACCTGAACCAGGAACAGAAAGGCACTGCAGTATCTGCATAACATGAACCAAAAGCAGAACAACTTGAAAAGAAATAATATGAAGAAAAAAATAGTACAACTTGAAAAGAAATGCTCTTATATTAACTGGAAGCTTTTGACGATACAATGTTTGAACAATTTTAACGGCTTGGTTAGAGGATAGGAGTTAAGTAAAACTCATCAGCAATCAAGCCTGATATGATCCTTATCAAACCAACATCTGCTAGTTCACAGTTCAAAGCTCTAACCAGTCAACAATTTAAATAATCAATGTTTTCTGTAATATGGAAATAATCATAATAAAAGTTGCAATGAAGATGTTATTTAAGACCATACAGCATTATTCCATAAACAATAGCATCATAAAAACCGTATACTCTTCTCTTGCTGGATTTTGTGTTTTTATTAGACAAAAGAAAAAGTTTTGTCATCTGCCGGTTAAGGGGGGAAAAATACTGATATTGCGCACAGTATAAACATGAAAAATAATGATGACAAGCAAGCAATTGACATCAGGGAGGTTCTAATGGTATTTTTGAATATAACAAAGTTACCAATAAACCTGAACAATATACTAAATACTGGTTCTAAATAAGGTTGAGTTTTGTCACCTTTGCCCAAGCAACTCTCTTATACTGATTTGCATTTTGCTGCACAATCCTTCGGTGTCTCTGAACCCAGTCATCACCCAATAAATCCTTTGCTTCAGACCTGAAAACAACAGAGTTTTCTTAACCATTTCATATCACATCATAATTTAATTTAGGGTTAAATAAGGATAGACCCCTTGTACTATCACCCAATCATGGAAAACTCCTCTATAGTTATATTGTTGCAGATAGATGCCTGGAAAGAAGACTCTTTTACCCTTAGGAGGTTTATTTGTCCACCAAAAAAAAAAAGAAAGGAAAAAGGAAAAACATTTCTCTTTTTCTGAGGGCAAAGGACTCAAATTTTTTTACTGATGTGGTCTATCTGCAACGTTAGAACTACAGGGGGTTTATCCGCAACTGGCGATAGTAAATGAGCTCTATATGCAATTAATTTAACTGACTAACAACATACCGCCGAACCGATCTGACTATGTAGTGAATGTTATTCATAAGGAATAGGTACGTAAGAGCAGGATCTTTATACTGCTTGGATTTTCCATCCAGGTTGGTCTGCAGAGCTTGCATTATCCGTGTTGTTACAACTGCCAGTTGGGAGTCTGAATCTTCTCCAGTTTCAAACTCTTTGAAAAGCAGCTTTAGCGTTGACTGATAGCTGTGGATAGCAATCAACGCATTTATCGAATGAGTATGTGTACATGTATACATCTTAAATTCAAGTTCATAAGAAGGCTTAAAGACATCTAACTTATGTCTGTGTAAAACATAAATCAAGATATGAAAGCCCTTGATCCAGTTAATTTTCAGAACAAAATGATGACAAAGAAAATAATTAGGATGAAAACTTACTCGAAGAGAAACTTGACATAATTAATCACATAACTAGTCAAAGGGTGTACAGTTCCATCAAGTACAGCTGTTTTCGTAGCGTCCTTTTCAACTGCTTCCTCAAAATCACCAAAGGTTTCTTGAGCAGTCTGCGCTAAGCGCTTCGTCAGAGCAAGAGAAGATTCTCTCATCTCAGAACAAGCTTTGCCCTCAAAAATCGATTCAATCTGGTGAAAAGTTTGAGTGCAGATAGATCAATAGGCTGCAGTTAGTTGCTCAGAAGAAAATAGATATGGAACCATTAAGCATGATTTATAATGTCTTGATGTAAATATATATGTTCAGAGTGCTGAATTGTAAAAACAGATGATGTATAAATAACAAATCCTACCCATTACTCTCTTAACTCTTAAAAGAAATTTTAAATATTTCTCCTTGTTAATATAGACTACATCTGGCTCAACAATGTTGAATCTGTGACTTTCTTTATTGTTTACCTTCTTGCATGATTCATGATTGTCTCAGGAGGGCCTCACAGCTAAATTTAACAATTGATCTCGAACTTGTTTCTATTCCTTCAGCTTTCTCAAGCCATGTTAGAGTTCCATGTTTTATAGGTTTTGACTTCAGGAGGGTAATATTTAATTATTGGTGTG